GGGCTTCAACTTTACCCGCACATTGGCTGGTATGATCGCCGTGACTTGTATTCAGCGCTTTTTCGTCAAGCTCATTGTGTCTCTTGCCCTTACCCGTGAATTCAAGGGTGACACTGCCAACATTGCTTTCTGGACCGGAAAGTGGTACTCCATGGGATGGCACACCATCTCTCAGCCTGCTCGAGAGTTTCTGTGCAAGATCACCGAACTGTCAATGTTCGCAGCGGACTTCGTTTTGGGCCATTGGCTGCTCTTTTTCATGGCACCTGTCATCTTGATTCCCAAGATTGACATGCTCCACTCTATGATGTTGTTCTGGCTTCGCCCAAGGTATGTTTTATTCTTTGTTTGTTATGTTTTGAACCTGCACTAACCTCGGAGCAGTCGCCAAATCCGACCTCCCATCTACTCGATGAAGCAATCCAAGCTCAGACGCAGACGTGTGGTTCGTTACGCCATCCTCTACTTCACGCTCCTCGTCGTTTTCATCGCTTTGATTGCTGGCCCTATTGTGGCTGGCAAGTACATGCCACCCAACACGATCAGCAATGTCCTTGGCGATATTGCCGGCTTCAGACTTTATCAGCCTAACGATCTTAACAATGACAACACCAACAGCACCATGGCTACTGGTACAGGAATGCAAGGCTACACCGGAGCTGGCCTTACCAAGACCAAGACTGGCGCTGATGCCTCGGCAACTGGCAAGATCAAGCTGTTCTAGGTGGGATTTTTCAGACAGCCCCCTGTGGAGTCGCCTCATACGGGCGATGTTCCTAGCTTGTTTCTGCTGGTAGAAAAATTGTGGAAATGCTTAGTTTCTGTTTTTGCTTGTTTTTTGTTTTCAGTTCAGCAGTTTGAGTGGATGCGCGTGCATACATAGGTTGAAGTGTTATAGAAGACGATGGGGGATGGGAGAGATACAGGAGGAGGAGGTTGGCATAAGTCAGACCTGACATTCACTGGCTGAACTGGACTGATCTTTTTTGGTACAAGGCGCACTTCTATTTTTTTAAACTATTATAATGTGTACAATGAAAGGAAGAAACACATCCATGGCAGAAACTCTAGACCTAAATGCAAATAATGCCTTTTGATTGATTTGATTTGATTTGATTTCATTTATATCACTAGCCTACGCTATATAGATACCAAACATTGCAACAGGGAGGTATCCGACAGATATTCTACTGTCCTGCCTTCCTACGGAGCTTGTGATTTTGGTTGGTTTGTTTCAATGTACCTATGTAAGCCAATTTTACGTATTCCCCTTCTCCGGGCTATCCGATGACCCCTACACCTCCACTGTAGTGGATGGCCTGTGGTCTTATTGTTTCTGACCTTCAGGTACCCGTTGAGCCCCTGTTAGATATGGATCCTTGGTACAGCCAATCAGCCTGCGGTCTGCGGCTCGACTCGCTTCGACGTTAGAGGACTCTGGAGGCCCCTTTGTAGACCCATGTGCCTCCAACCTTAACGATTGACCTTGACTTGACAATTCAGAATCTTCGGTTGACGTCCATTTCAACTCCTTTCAACAACACGCTTCCAGTCCAAATCAATATATACTCTCACGACCGGTCGAGACAAGGCGAGACACGACGCGACGCGAGATCGATAGAAGTTGACGTAACCATTCAAGACAATTGGAAACAGAAAAAACATGGAACTCGATGCCCTCCAAGCCCAGGTGGGCGAAATCCTCGAACAGGCCGCCGTCTACTTCCATAAAGTCCCTGGTTCTGCAGTCTTTATGCGCTATATCCATTCGAGTTATCAAAACGACCCCGTGCGATCCGCCATTGAACTTGTGCTGCTTCTCTTCTTTATCCGTTATCTCCTGTCGCCTTCTTACTCGACCCGTAAGCAGAATTACATCAAGTTGAGGGAGGAGGTGAGAACACAGCCATATCCTTAATCCCCACAGGGTTGAAGTCGCTAATGTTTGGCTTTTTTGTAGGAAATTGAGGAGTTGATCGATGAATGGCAGCCCGAGCCTCTCGTCGTCGAGCAGACTCCATTTGAGGTCGCTGAAGCTGAACGGCTTCCTGTCCTTGTTGGGTGAGCATCATCAAGTCTAATCGCATGCGCAATCTAGCCAGGAGCAGCATCTGATATTATTATAGTCCTACTGGTCCCAAGACTAAACTCGCCAACGGCCGAACTGTTACCAATCTCGCATCCTACAACTTCTACAACTTCAACGGCAATGATCAGATTAAGGAGAAGGCTATCCAGGTTCTGCGCACCTACGGCGTTGGCCCTTGCGGTCCTCCCCAGTTCTACGGTACCCAGGATGTCCACATGAAGACTGAAGCCGACATTGCCGCGTATTTGGGCACCGAAGGCTGCATCGTCTACGCTCAATCCTTCAGCACCATCTCTAGTGTCATTCCCTCTTTTTCCAAGCGTGGCGACGTTATCATCGCCGATCGTAATGTCAACTTCGCTATTCGCAAAGGTCTCGAGCAATCGCGAAGCACCATCCGCTGGTACGAACACAATGACATGGGTGCTTTGGAAGACGTTATGAAGGCTGTCGCCCGAGAGCAGGCCAATGCCAGGAAACTTACCCGTCGGTTTGTCGTAACCGAAGGTTTGTTTGAGCTCTCTGGAGATTCTATCGATTTGCCCCGCCTGGTTGAGCTTAAAGAGAAGTACAAGTTCCGCGTTATTCTGGATGAGACCTGGTCTTTTGGTGTTCTCGGCCGTACCGGGCGTGGTATCACTGAGGCGCAAAACGTGGATCCCCAACAGGTTGACATGATCATTGGTTCCCTCGCTGGACCTCTCTGTGCCGGTGGTGGCTTCTGTGCTGGCCCCAAAGATGTGGTCGAGCACCAGCGCATCACATCTTCTGCGTATACATTCTCTGCCGCTCTCCCTGCCATGTTGGCTGTCACCGCCAGCGAGACCCTCAACCTGCTCCAGTGTAATCCTGAAATCCTGGCACAGTCCCGCGAGAACATCAAGGCCATGAGGCTTCAATTGGATCCCCGCAGTGATTGGGTTTACAGCCCAAGCGACCCCGAGAACCCTATTATGCTCCTTGTCCTCAAGCCCGAAGTTGTGGCTGCTCGTAAGCTCGGACTGGAAGATCAAGAACGCATCTTTCTGGACTGTGTGGAAGAGGTGCGTGCATCGAACACTGAAACATGAACGAATATAAAATAAACTGACTCCAGAACAGACTCTTGCCAACGGTGTGTTGATCACAAGAACCAAGACAGGGCCTTATGCGCACACTGTCAAGCCCAAGGACGGGGCCTGGTTTGCCCAGCCTGCTCTTCGAATTTGCGTTACATCAGCACTGTCTAAGAAGGATATTGAGAAGGCCGGTGTGACTATTCGACATGCTATCACCAAGGTCATGACACGAAAGACGAGCACCAAGACCGCCTGATTCAGGGGCTTAACAGATGATAATTTTGATGACAGACTGAGGCTGGCTGAATACATGATATACAGCTGAGGATAGTCGATAAGGCGTCGGGCTACACTGAGACCCTTTTTTATTATGGATAATCAGCCAACGTAATAGACGAGGGGCAATATGGAACGATTTACAAAGTGGCTGGCAGCCATTTAACAAGCTAATGATTAATAGATGCGGCCCTTGTACGCTAGCATTGAATGAGTATTTCCCGATACAATGGTTTTGTGTCTTTGTGGGCGCCGTGAAAAGATGTTATCAATTGGTTTCAGTATCATGGTTTTGATACTGACGAGGGATGTAAGATACCTTATTTGTCTGCTTCACTTACTCACAGTTGATGAAGTCGCTTCTGCCAAGTCACTGTTTTCGAATTTAAAGATTATGTGAGATAGAGAAGGAGACGTCAGCTGTCTCGCGGATTTTATAAGCCATCCCTTGCCAAGCCATGTCCTTACTACTATACAGCCGCCATACATCACGGACTCCAATCTGACAACAACAGAATCACCAAGGACGCACGCACATGCAGAAGATGGATCACAATTGGCAGAGCTGTAGTCTCAGTTTCACAGTTTAGGTATTTTTATTTACCGGACGGATGAGGAACCTTTTCAGCTCGCAACAGGACTTTGGACATGTCTCAGACGCTGCATTCCTTGGGAGATTACAGGTCTCGAAAGTATGCGCCATGCAAAGAAATCATCTCATTCCAAGAGTCGCGAGCGCCGTGGCCTCTTTTTGTGATTCATTTTTAATGTTTATGTTTTCGGGCAGTTTGAGTTGTTGAGTTCCATGGCTCGAGTGAGTTTCTGCATTCGTGTGTCTCATATTCTGGGAGCGGCATGAGTGTGAAAAGGGAGAACAAGGGATGAAGCCTTTAAGTAAGGCAAGGCCGAGCCAATGAGGCTTAGGATCTCGGGATGAAACTCACTGACTGAGAGGAATTACGGAGGTGAGGAGTGTCTCACTTGTCTCTTGCAGGTTCAAGCTTGCCTTAAGCTCAACACTTACAAACGGTACCTACCTACCTAGGTAGGTACCTTACGTCAAGGTTCCATTGGTAAGGTAAGGAAGGTACCTTGAGTTCCATGGGAAGTCAGGCTCAACACGTGTCTTACCGTACAGTGTTGTTCCTTCTTGGGTTGTTTTCTTTTGCTTAGGTCATTGCCAGTAGAGAGGCCCTTTCCTCCCTTGTTTTGACGTCTCCTCTTTTTCTACCTTACCTACTTTACCTCTCTAGCTTCAACTTCGCTGCCATCTTTTTCTTCTTCCTCTTCATTCATTCATTCACTCCTACAGTCGTTTTTCGTTTCTTTTCTTACCTACAATCACTTCCTAAGATTTGTCATTCTTTGATTCTTCTTTTCAGTTCTATACACACTCTTTTCATCCGAACCCTGTTCATTCTTGGATAGCGGGTTATTAAATCCCGTCTTATACACTCATTTTCTCAAATCATCGACCTTTAAACGACTATTTGAGCTCGTTGTAGCAGCTCCTTCACTCTCTAACAACTCTCCAAACTACCAACCTACCTACAGTTTTTATAAAATATTTAAATAAAATGTCGATGAAACGTTTCTTCACTTCGGCGGTTGCCATGGCGGCGGTTGTTTCTGCTGTTCCTGTTGGTAAGCATTCTCCTGACCAGGCTGTAACTCGAAGCTGACAGTACCAACAGCCCGTCCGCTCGAGAAGCGAGAGCCGTATGCTTTTCTCGTGACATGAAACCGCGGTGTTGACTGACAAGATTATAGTGTTACGACTATTACTCTGACTTCGGCCTCTACCTACACCGCAACTATCGCTCCTGCTACCCCTGTCACCCCTACAGGAACTGCAGCTTACCCAGAAACTACAGCTCCTCTTTCTGGTAGCCCCAAGCCCTCTAAGAACGGCCAGCCTGACGGTTCTAAGCTCCCTGGTGTCGCATATGCTCCCTACCGAGGCGATCACCAGTGCAAATCCAAGCACGAGATCCAGCACGATATTACGCAGCTCGCAGCTGATTTTTCAGTCCTTCGTATCTATGGCACCGACTGTGACCAGGTCGCCAATGTCTACTCATGCGCCAAGGGTAGCGGCATGAAACTGTTCCTCGGTATCTGGAATATTGACGATGTTCAGACTGAGGCCAAGACCATCATCCGTGCAATTGATGACTGGGACGTTGTCGACACCATCAGCGTTGGCAATGAACTTGTCAACAACGGAGCTGCCACCCCAGCAAAGGTCATCGCCGCTGTCAAGCAGGCTCGTGAGATCCTCCGTGCCGCAGGCTACCAAGGTCCTGTTGTCACAGTTGATACATTTATTGCTGCAAATGCTAACCCTGAGCTTTGCAACGAGAGTGACTACTGTGCTATCAACGCTCACGCCTTCTTCGATGCCAACACTTCTGCTGATGAAGCTGGCCAGTGGCTCTCCAACACTGTTGAGGACCTTCGATCCAAGATTTCTGGCGACAAGCGTATCGTTATTTGCGAGACTGGCTGGCCTACAAAGGGCAACAGTAACGGCAAGGCTGTTCCCGGTATGAGCCAACAGAAGGCTGCGCTTGACTCTATCAAGCAGGCATTTTCCAGTCATATGGGAGACCTGATCCTCTTCTCTGCCTTCAACGATCCTTGGAAGAAGGCCGAGGCTGCAACTTTCATGGCCGAGCAATGGTGGGGTATCGAAGGCCAGGACTCAGTTTCCAACAAGGACCCGTCGTCTTCTGACTAGGGAACGGCGCCCCGATTTGTCATGTCAGTTAGACCTTCAAATATTTGAGCGGTTTGCGGTCACGTTTTTACTCTGAGATCACGCTCGGCTTATGTCTTTTCTATGATGTTTAATGTTTTATTGTTATTGCTAGAGGATTGTTGATGCCGATTATCAGGTGGCCATTGCAAAGCTGTACGAGCTTATCATCTTGGGAGGTATGTTGGAGGTTTGTCCGTTTTTCTATTCAAGCTTCAACTACCTCATCACATCACCTCACTTTATGGCTGCTCTTTTAGAGATAAGAAAAGAATTACACTTAGTATTTGTTACTTGAATTGAAATGTCCGTTATACAATTTGAACTTGGATTTCAGTCAATGGGCGAAAGTCCAAGTGAATGAGTGGCTCGATCGAAACATAGTACGTATCTAAACCGTTCACGAGGACTCGAAATTCAGAACATGATCGAGGCCAAGAAACAGCGTTGATGAACTACCTATATAACTATAGAGGTCGATGTCCTGCAGCCCCCGTGCCTCACATTGACGATTTCGTTACTCATAAGACTATACACAATGCACCCCGTGCTAGCCCAATGATTTCCCCATGATGCATGATGCCTAACATAATATAGCTCTTTGTACGATAACAGCTATTGACCAGAGAGGCTCTTCCCTTGGCAAGCAGATTCGAATTCTGTAGTTGCTGTAATGTAGCTCGAGATCTTAAGTAGCTTGTCTGAGGCTGGCAACTGTGTGTGGGCACTTAATAAGTGGTTTGCTCGCTGTGGATGACGAGCACATCGTTAAATAGAACATAGCAGCAAGGTTTGGGACGCAATGCGGAGACGGGGGCATATGATGTAGACCAGAGTATGGGGGGATAAGACCCAACCCCTCAGACGAGGAGGCGAACACGCCTTTGCTTCTCCGTAGGAAGGTAAGCAAGAAAAGAAGAAAAATCATCAAATCTCACATCGTCCATAAGTCATACCGAGCTCAAGATCAGTTAGCTCAAATGGTGGAGATGTCTCAAAAGACCCGTCCTGGGATCAAGATCGTCAAACATGCACCCATCAAGCGGCCCTGCATATTTCAGCAGCTGGCGCGACGGCATGAGTTTAGCAGATCCAAAGTTCGTCAAGGAACTGGTCGAGTTCGATGATGCGGAATCGGGAGCCGATGCTCTGGTCTTTCAAAAGAGTAGTCCAAGCAGAAGAAAGACTGGCTTTCCAGGAAACAACCTCAACGCTCCAGCCCATTTTCAGAGCGCGTTGGGCTTGTGTCAAGAAGCCGTCTGAATACTTAGCCGGCCGAGCATCACCAGTAGCGATGACGAGCGTGCCAGGCTCCTTGAAATACTGCATAACAGACTCGCTAATTCTAATCTGGAGGGTTTCGTCAACCATGTCTTCGACATAACGGAATCCGCCAGCTTCGAATGTGTTGTGGTCATCAGCACCAGATTGCTCAGGACGACGACTGCGAAGGTCGACGCGGTAGCCAAGATCCTTGAGCTCTTGGACAAAAGTAGGCTCGTTGCGGTTGGGACGCACAGAGCAGCCAACGTTGAGCCATTCCGCGTATCGATCGCGGGTAAGAAGTTCGTGAAAGAAAGCAAGGCTCATTTGTGGAAGTGGAACAAAGCGCGACGACTCTGGCAAACCAAATCTGACTCTTAGGGCCTTTTGGAATCCAATGATGATGTTGGACATGTCGACAAAGACATGAATTCCGTTTTCTGCAATGGTGGGATAATCCTTGCAGATCATAGAGTCTATAACCCGCTCATGAACGAGCTTTCTCATGAGGCCCTCATGCTTGACCACCGTGGTCTCCACGTTACTGTGAATCTCAGTAAGGGGGCCATACTTGAAATACTGATATGAGATAACATGTCTGACATGGTCCGATTGGATGTTACCCAGGACCACTATGTTGGGTTCAGAGCTATCTCTAGAATGTGATTTGCTCTTGCCCGGATTTGAACCTTTCTTGTTCTTTTTGGTTTCTTCAAAATGCTTAAGCGGAGACTCGCTTGAGCTTGGTGGTGTTGAGGCAGCGGTTGAGTAAGACGTGGCATGCAGCACATCAGTGTCAGAACCACATCCAGCCTCTGAGTCGGTAATTGGGTCAAAGTTGGGCTGGTTTGATTTGAGAAGTTCATCCTTATCTTCCCCGCATATCTCTTCCTTCAGAACAGCCTCTCTAGTAATTCGAATAGACTTTCCAGTTCGCTTCTCATGGATTTCACTTGCCATCTTTATGTAATGAATACGGCCTTCAGTGCTTCGGTCTGGTTGCTTTGAGGCGGTAATACATGCCTGCTCCTGATCCTCTTGATTGAAATGCTCAAGCTCAACCGAGGGTTTGGGCACACTCCCTGCATCGTTGGTGAATTGCGGCACAGAAGGTCGCTTTAATATCGTGATCGACTGTAGCTTTGGGGAAGCCAATGGCTTTCGCTGCTGCTGGGATGATTCAATGTCGTTGAGACGAATTTGCTGGAAGAGCCGCTTGAAGTTTCCAAGGGACGGGGTTGAGCCAGAAGCCCTTGAATCCTTCGTGGAAGCCCAGTCCGTGAGACTGATGGAGCTCAGCTTGGTGAAGTCACCAAGCTTGAGTCTACCGTCATGTGCAGCATTATCTACAGGCTTACTGCTACCCGGCGGCTCGCGAAGAGGATCGTCTGTTGAGTTTGTCGTTGTCGATGCCATAATAACCATCAAAAGCGACTGCGCACATAGATGCGAGTTGGTTGTTATAGATCAGATTGGTGAGTTGCTCGACACTAATGCCAGACGTGGGAATATTGCTGAACTGTTTTTCAAGTATTGACTAATGGCGCCAGTAGAATGAATTATCCAAAGTTGCAACTGCAATTTGCTAGAACTGCGGCAAATGGCAAAGCCAAGAAGATATTGAGAGAGAGACCGATTTGCCACAACTGAGCAGAATGAGCTGAAACAAAAGCGGACGTGGCGTAGTTGAGTATGTAAAGGAGGGAACTCGAAATAGCCTAACACAGTCTGGGATGATTCAAAGGGCAAATCCAATGCGTCAGATCTTGCCGCTTGATGAAGCCAAGTGAGACCAAGTGCGGAGATCGAGCTACCAGAATATCATGAGGTCACAGTAAGGGAAAAGGGCTTAACTCAGTCAAGACCGTGTTAAGTGGGATAGAAAATCAAAGACAGAGAACAAAAGACATAATAGAGAACAGTCGCGCAAAGACTCGAGTCAAGAACAAGGATTGAAATATAGGGAACAAGAAAATACGGACGTTAAACCGTTGACGAAGAATGTATGTATGTATGAGATGAGATGAGATGAATGATGAGTCAATTCACCTTGAACTTTAGGTACCTAACTACTAGACTGAGGCTACCTTACCTCTGGGTGGCTTTCCGGTATCCGGGATGGCATGTTCCCGGCCAATCAGATCGCGACATATGTGGCATAAGGGTCCTGTAACTCACGTGTTTATTGCCACTCCGTGGCTTGGCTGAACGAGCAACTTCCTTGATATACGTACTTGGTATGACTGTGATGAAGTTGTGGGAGGTTAAAAGAGGCTTCAGCTCCCAAGGCACAAAGGTAAAGAACACCCTACAGGCAAGATACTCATTGTCAACAGCACGACAAAGATGGAAGCGAAACAAGAGATATTGTGCTGACCATCATCACTTCACAGAATTCAGCAACTTGCCAATGAGCAAAGATTTTGTCAAATTTCTATCTCTGCTTCTCACATTGTGTTCATCCTTAAGTTCATGCCAGATGCATTCATCCCTCTGAATAGATAGCCATGCCCTACATAAAGTGAGAATGGAAATCTTGAATCCTGCTTATGCTCGACATTTCGAAAACATATGCATGAACAAGAAGGTTGCGAATACTGCCTGATTCGCAAATTTAAACAACCCGAAGCTGCCCCTGTTCCATTGAACCGACTTCTTGTATCTTTGATATAGCCTGTTTCGTTTTTTCTTTCTTTCCTTCTTTCAGAATTATAAGCAGACAGTGCTTTGAAAGAAAACCACAACTATGCTTGGCACCTTTCCTGGCAAGACTTGCATAATTATATCCATAGCTAAGCTCCATTGCCATCACCTTCGGAAATCGATACTAGCTCGAGATGAGTCCAGGCTTGGTCGCACTGAGCTGCTTGAGCTTCGTCTTCGCCTCGCTCGCTGCTCGTTGGGGTCGGAAGGGTGCAAACCAGTCGACTTCGCAAACATGTTGAGTACATCAGTCAACGAGATAACACCAGTAAGCCTTCCCGAAAGACGAGCCCCAGCCATGGCCGATGCGGGCACAGCAGCTGTAGGGACTGGAGAAGCAGGTACTGCTGCAGTCGGGACAGGCGATGGGGGTGCAGGCGCCGATACGGGTGCAGCAGAAGGCGGAGGACCGGCGGTCGTGAAAGATTGGGGCCCCATCAAAGGTGTTGCAGGAGCTGAAGGGGAGGGTGACGCCGATTCAACCACCCACATCCGATGCGATCGAGTAGCAACGAGCTTGGCAACGGTGTGGGCCAAAGTCGAGTAGGGGTTCACGTAGAATACGGGAAAGACGTCGCGTCCATGTTCAACTCCTCGCTCGTTGAGAATCACAGAAATGAAGTTCATGCATGACGAATTGAGTAAATGGGCGTTGGAACTCTTGGTTAAGTGGCGGACGTCCTTGGTCGAGATATTGCCCACCACATTCATACCGTTGTCAACAACAGCAACGCTTGTGAGTCCTTCATTGCTCATAAGCGTGAGTGCTTCAGATAAGGGTGAATCGGAGCTACGACCTTGTTAATACGTATCATTCTGAGACTGCGTAGAAACTCACTTGACAGATACAATCTCCTTGGCCCCAACACCCAGATCACGTAGCAAAGCAGGGTAAAGCCGATCGATAGAGGGAAAGTTGACACCCTCGTTCCAGAAAAACTCAACAATTCGAAGTTGACTTGCGATGCCAACCACCTCGCCACTAGTAGTTGTCACTAACAGACGATGGATGCCAC